AAATTGAATTTCATATCAATTCGTTGTTTGTCTGCAAACCCGAAGACATCGAAAAGAAATAACTCTTTGACTGAAAGACAAAACACATCGCAATCAGAGCTCACGATTGGCGCCAAAGTGAAGCAAACCACTCAAGACATCACTTATTTGGGTCATTATCTCCACGAGTCATGGCGCGGGTTATGGTCTGACAAGTGAGGGCTCAACACATCCACACTTTGATCCCATTCTTATGCCATCTCTGAGACCATAAGACATGCATTTCTGTATGAATTGCTGGTATAAGAGATGAGTGGATGTGTGGCACCGGTAGCCGCAGACCAACCAAAAGCCATATTCTTAGGCAAAACTAAATGAAAACTAATGGTAAATGTGTCCAAACAGGTGTCATATTATTAGGCGTTTCGGTGACGGGAGTCATCCTTTGGGCCATATTTCGAGAGCTGTTCTCATCGGTGAGTCCATCAGTCCTGTACTCAAATGCTCTCAAACTCTGCAAATGTGATCCACGAGTGGTTGAGGCCATCGGACAACCGATCAAAGGCTTCGGTGAACTGAGTTCTCGCGGCCGAAGACGACGCGTCAGTTCTGTTGAGTACGACAAAGAGGGGGAGCGAGTGATTCGCGTCCAGTTCTACCTCAAGGGATCCAAAACCAGTGGAACCGTTCAGTTGGAGGCTTTCAAACACAAGTCCAACACTCAGTTCCGGTACCTATTCGTACAGTTAGACAGTTCTGGTCACGTGATAGTTCTGGAGGACAACCGACACATTGAGGACAAAGCCATCACTTCCTTGAATACATTGCGAGAGATTTGAATGAATGCTTCAAATGTTTGTTTGTCTTATAAGAAATGAATTTTTAATAATTCTTTGATTATTGAAAAATAAATTTAATTATCAATTATTTGATACAATACTTGTCTCAATGTTTTTCAATACATTTATCATTAGTATTGATCTCGATTTCCAAAGAGCTCTCGAATTAGTAGCGAATAATTAAGTCATAAGAAATATACAGTTATTTTGAGTTTGTTTTGCACTCACTTTCTATGGCAACAGAATTTGTCAAAACATAAGATTTGCGAACAATTAGTAACCGATTGCGGGAACGATGACTGACTTAGTGGCCGTTTGGGACGTCCCTCTGTGTGATAAAGTGCATCGGGTTGAATTTGAGCATGGTACAACCACCGGCAAACGGGTCCTCAAACTCGATGGACAGGTAGTTTCCGATTCATAAAATACATTCAGTACCAGTGATAGGCTCTCACAGTATTCTACAGTGTATATGCATTAGTTATACACTATAATATGAATTTTAAAGAAAATTACACCTTGTTGATACTTTTAATTTTTATCTTCATTTAACGAATTGAATAATTTTCAGATAGTTTTCCGTGTGATTCCTATAATAGCTATTTTACAATTCTTATTCATACATTGTGTGATTAATTTAAAAAGCTGTCCATAAGCCAAGTTTTGAGCAAACATGTTTGCGATAATTATTTGCAAAATTGCATCACATATTGAATTAACTTGCCATAAAATACTGAAACACTAAATTGGATACAAACTGCAATTACTGTAATGAGAAATACTTGTGAAATATACCAGGAATTGGTTCGAAGGGAATGGATGTTCAAACTGGTGGGAAGTGAGTTGTTTGAGATCAAGGGAGAGGACGGACAGGTTTTGGCGAAATGCGAAATCACGATTAACGCGAGCACTGGATTCACGTATGAATACTCACTGCTTGTGAACGGAAAGCAATTGAAGAAATTTAGAGAAAAGCAATCGAAAGCAATGAGTACTTGGGTTGTGGACATGGATGACAAGATGTGGAGAATAGCATTGGGTATAAACGATGCAAAACATTGCAAACGATAATTGAATTGTGATTTAGAGAAGGAAACGCTCGATATTTGGGTGAATGGAGTGAAGGCGGACACGAATCACGAGTTCGCCGACGAGGGCACGGAAATGCATTTCATCGTCGATGACGACCACAAGGCGTGCATCAAAACCATCAGTTCCGGCAATAAGAAGGAGGGAATCGTTTACTCACTTATAGTGAACGGCAAAGAAATAACCGAAAGTTTTATGTAAATCATTGGATTTGTTATTTAAGTACAAAAGTCTAAAATTATATCGAATTTTAAAAATAATGTATTTTTTGTACAAATCATTAACTGTTTAATGACTAGAAGTGCAGTCAATAGTGTTTTCTGGATGTTATCACAAAAGCAATTAAAACCTATTTTTGATGTTTCGAAGCGTTGTATTGTCTGAAGAAGGCTTTGCCGAACTCGTAAGAGCTAATCATTATAGCACACGCCGGCGCCACTTTCATCACTCGCGGACCTATACCGGAGAACAGACCCCTATAGCCACTCTCGCGGTATATCCTCCGCATTATGTCTCGAGTTGTACTCGCATTAGAAGTCTTATTGTTAATGATTTGCATTTCTCCTAATTCTATCTGTCGGTGCGTTTTGACGACATCGAAGGGAAGGGTCACAACAGCGGCTACTGTTCCCGCTGTGGCGCCGCTCACAAAACTGAATGTAAATGTCGGGTCCTTTTGATTGAACTGCTTCTTCATGAACTCATAGTTAGCCCAATATATGCACGAAAAGGGAACGTCTCTCAGAATAGTAGCACTCAATCCGCGCCACAACGAGAAGAAGCCCTGAGATTCGAGAAGACTCTTCACGGCTCGACCCAACTCCAGATAACTCAGTCTTTTGGACTGCATTTTAGTTCTAATCATTTCGAGGGGACTGATAGTCGTGGCCGCGAATACCCGGGCAAACCCTCCGGACACGACGGGCACCCATAGGGGCTGATCCACTAATTTGAACCTTCGGTTTATGTGTTCCCTTAACTGATCATAAACTGAGAAATAAAGATAATTTGATAAATAGATTCAATGAATCATTGATAATCATATCATATATAATACAGAATTAATATTTTAAATCAAAATAAAATATGAAATTATGAAAATAGTTTTCAATAAAAAAGTTAACACAATGTTATACAGTATTTAAATTGAAAATACATATCCAGTACATACCCGTGAAATATATAACAGTGGCCGGAATTGCCATAACTCTACACACGAGACAAACAATGCATTCATTATACAGTATTTGGGTTCAAAAGTCAATGAAATCAAAATCAAATCAATTGAATGCATACAAAGTGGGCGGAAGTCCACTCCAAAGAGAGGCCAGGCCTTCGTTTCGCGTTATTTTGATGAACGCGTCCTAAAAGACAAAGTTCTTTGAGTTGTCGTCGAATGAGATCCAATTGATTGATACGAACCACAGTTCCCGTGAAGTGTCTGTTCCTCTGCGACATGAGGTTGCGCTGCATAGTCGCAGAACTCATGCTATGATATGCATGAGTGGCACCACTTTTACCATTAGTGTTGGATGTGTTGGAAGTGTTGACATCATTTGCAGGACAATAGCAGATGTGTTCCATAAGTCCATTGCAATATAAATAGCACTTGTTTTTCATGAACTCCTTCTGTTGCGATTGGATCCTTATCTTCACCACATCTAAAGGGGTCACTGAATGCCAGACAAGACCACAATCAACCGGTGAGACAGTGGTGTGACTGCGAGACACATACCGAAGATGGAAGTGATGAGCGCTCCCGTACACGAAGACATCATCTGCTGGAACGGTGTGATCGATGTATTCATCCGGTGATCGCACCTCTCTTTCGCCGGCAAACAGCTTGTATCTGAAGACATGTCTGGGATGTGACTCATACTCAACATCCTATACCACACTTCACTTCATTGTCCAGAAGTTCACTATAAGTCCAATGAATGGTTGCGTTGATTACGAAAGGGTTAATGAAATGCAGACAACGATTGCAACCATTTCTATACAAAACACACATTGCATCAGATGTTGGGCACAAACACGCGCTCAACACTTCCCACACAAACACTGCATTCCCTATATTTGACAACTCTTTCCCCAATCATTGCATTCAATGTTTCATTTGACAGCCATTCCGGCAATATTTGCAGCAACTCTCGAAACCATGTGTGTTCGCACATGTGATCAGATTACTGTAGATTACTGTATCTATCAGTCATTCAAGTGTTTTATTATACGAAAAATTGGCACAAAAACAACTCTAAGTCTTATATTATAGAGTAAACAGTTATATAAGCAATTGATTACTCAATAAATGATCGATATTTGTGATACATTTGTGAACAAACATTAGACTAGTCTAACAGTAAGTTAGCGTTCATTGACAATACTTGATGACCGGGTAGAATAGTCTAATAGACACTGTTATTGTGGTCCATTATGTAACCGCAATTACAATTGCTTCATAATATTATCCTAAAACTTATATATAGCACTTGCTCATAGAGTTACGTCAATTAAACAGATCCTGATACTTTTGAATAAGTTTGCAACAGAATTGATTGATGTTTCTGTTATATTTGACCAAGTAAATCAATATAATTGTTTAGTACCTTTTGTTATGTAGTTTACATATAACTTATGTATGTATTACTAGTTGTAAAAAGGTTTATTTATAAAAAAATATTTGGTCCATAAACATTTTAAATCAAAGAATTTAATGATATATGACATGAAGTATTGAATTAATTAAAAGCAATTAAAAGTTATAAACAATTGTCAGTTACTGAATAAACTTGATATTTCCATAAAGCAATTGACAAATGAATGAAACAATTTGCAAAGTTTCCAAACGGGTGTCACTGTGTAGTGGACGTGCATTGTGTGCGACCCACCCATGAGTTTCTGCTTTGTCACTGAATTGGTGTGAATTTGTGGTGACTTTCAAAACAGTGTCCAATTGTCTGCAATTGATTTCATTTGATAACTCATACGCGAGTGTCCATTGACTCAAGAGGAATGGCATCCGAGAGATACAGCTTTTCATTGACTACTTTCAGGTATGAGATAATGTGTTGATTGATGGCAATGACTGACTCATGTATCGTGTGGACAGTCCGTCGGGAAAGTTAGTGCAGATCGAGTACGCGTTGGCAGCCGTGGCCGCCGGTGCACCCGCTGTAGGCATTAAAGGTAGGTCTGGACACCAGTGACTTCAATGACACTAATGTATGAATGAATGGTAGCGTCGAATGGCGTGGTGTTGGCGACCGAGAAGAAGCATAAGTCGATTATATACGAAGAGCACTCTATCTTCAAAGTGGAGGCCATCACCAAACACATCGGTCTCGTGTACAGCGGAATGGGTCCCGACTATCGACTTCTGGTGCGAAGAGCGCGCAAAATAGCGCAGCAGTACTACTTGACGTACTCCGAGCCCATACCCACCACTCAATTGGTTCAACGCGTCGCCCATATTATGCAAGAGTACACCCAATCAGGAGGTGTTCGACCTTTCGGTGTCTCCCTATTGATCGCTGGATGGGATAACGACAGACCCTATCTCTTCCAATGCGATCCATCCGTAAGTTTAACCGTAAAGTGATTTCTGAGTGAAGTATTGTTAATATACTAATGTCTGTGGAAAGGGTGCATACTTTGCATGGAAGGCCACAGCTATGGGCAAGAATCACATAAACGGCAAGTCCTTCCTCGAGAAACGGTATGTATTTATTTGGATCTATAAAGTGATGAATAATTAACTGAATGCTTATAAATGGCTAAACAGTTATAGCGAAGAGTTAGAGCTCGAGGACGCCATTCAGACGGCTATATTGACTCTGAAAGAGGGCTTTGAGGGACAGATGACTCCCGACAACATAGAGATCGGCATTTGTGACGCCCAGGGATTCAGAAGACTATCTCCAACTGAAGTGAAGGATTATTTGGCGACAATCGCTTGATTTCGCATCACTTTCCCTTTATTTTAATAAATTTGTTTTTTAATAAATTATAAAATTGCTGTCAATTCTATGATTATTTGATACTTTAATTTAATATTAAATTGGATTCAATGTTATATTGGAAATGGATTAACCAGTATATCTTGGTATTTGCATTCATTTACGGCCATTCAATTTCATGATAGTAATGGATATGATATATTAGACGGATATTTATGTGTTATGGTTTATGGTAAAAGTCGTGAATAATGACTTATCGGTGATAATAAATGATATTAATATCCAATAATTACATAATGTCCTAGTCTACTGTGTTATGCAATAATTTTATTGTTCACTAAAAGTAATAATGAGAAAATAAAAATATTGAGAATATAAAATGAGCAAGTTTATAATTGATAGGTTGTGTTAGGCTAATCTAGATCACATTACTTAGATAAGAGTAACAGTACTGTAAATACTGGACAAACAAATTGTCTCTCAATTGCACTCAAAATGCAATTCAACTCTCATATCGAGTTCAGCGCCAAAGCAGTGATTGGTTGCCGTAATGTATGGCTCGCAGCAGACAA